TTTTCAACCAGTTTCTTTCTTAAACTATGTTGTCTATTTTATTTCAAAATTAACTAATACACCCTAAAAACCCCTAGACACCACGCCAATAAAAACCCCGCTATCTGAAGCATCCGACCTTTTGGAAGATTTCGGTTGGATTCCCACAGAAATAATTGAGGGATCGCTCCGGGATTGATTTAAAATCTTCTTTATATTTTGATCAGAATCAAAAGTTAGTCTGATAAACTCCTAACCTTCTTGTTTGAAAAACAATTGGCTCAACGGCCAAATTGAAAACGCTGACAAATGTAAACAAACGGCTTGCCTCTCATATATAACACATACTAACACATTTTACTTAGTAATCCTTTTTTGTGGAGTTATTTCGTCCTGCAAGTATCAGTTCTGAAAGTTGATCCAGTCCATTTCAAGCTTCATCTGCAGAATTCATCCAAGAACTTAATTACGTTTTGAACAACTGTATCAGGTACTGTTTTTTATTATGTTCTTCATTAAAAGAAAGGAAATCTCTAAAAGAAGAGTTTCAGAGCCATCGTCATGCTGTTAATAACAAAATTGTTTTTGAGTTTTTAAAGTATATAATTCATATTTTTAAAGCATAATGTTTATCTTTAAAATACTATTTTTCTATCTATGCATATTTAATCGCCCGTATTAAATTCTTTGCAAGTATATCTTTTAAAATATTAAGGAAATCGATGAATATTTAAGTTATGAATATTTGTGTAACGAATCTATTTTATGTGTTTTAACGAAATGCTCTCGTTGTGTTGACCTTGACCAGCGCCTCTTAGCTCATCAAGAATATCTCGATTGCAAAAAACAGTTTGTTCCAGCAGCTGTTGTGTAATAAATTAATCATTTCCTGTATTTTGAGAAGAAATTTCACTGAACCATTTTTGCTTTTCATTCAAACATTGTTCATTTTTATAATTTATTGATGAAACATCCTAAATGATGTAATTTTGAATGGTGTATTTTATCATTCAATATATGAATATTTTGAGTTCATTTTTGACAGGATTATTATGCTTTCTATTAAAACGTGTGCTTATTATTAGAATTTGATGATGAGATAGATCCTGAATAATTTTATTATTTTTTTTTTGGTGTAATAAAAAAAATGAGCTTTTTCTTTACGTGACTAACTTCTAATTGTTTCGTTTTGACTGATTAAATTAATTTTCATTTTATAATAAATTTAATCTTGTAACCCCCCGTTATTTAGACTCTTCAATATTAACAGTAAAGAGACTTTCGCACCCTCTAGCGAGTCTCTTTACTGTTAATATGGAAGAGTCTAAATAACGGGGGGTTACAATCTCAGTTTTTTAAAACAAGATTTACTTTGTTTAATTTATTTTTACTTTCAAATTCTTTTTGCATTTATTATAACAAAAGGAGACAACTGATATATTAAATGTTTTTATAGAATTTTTTTTTGTTGAAATTAATAATTGAAGTATTTCAATTTAAGTATTACGTGTTTTAGCTCACACTGTTGTTTTCAAACATTATTGGTCTAAAATATTTTTAAGTTTATAAGTTTTGAGTATTTCATTGCATATTTAATGTATTTTGGTGCATTATAATTTTATCTTAAGAATTTTGTTAATTGAAAGCGAGATTTGCTATACTATAGTGATACCATTGTTATTGTTGGAACGCGTGACAGTTTAGTTAATTCTTTTAGTTACTAAATAAAATTAAATTTAAATTTTAAAATGGCCTATCTCGTCAAAGGTCGACGCGAAGATTTATTCGTCTTAGCCACAGAACTAAATTTAAAATTCGATAAATCTATGACCATCGCTACTCTCAAAGACCTAATTACTAGTAGTAAAGAATATGACGAAGATCTAACCAAAAACCTACACACAACGATAGTAGTGGGTCGTTAAGCCAAGGAAGGACAATTACCCATAGAAGAACGAGAAGAAAGAATACACATCAAAAAATTGAAGTTTGATGAACAAAAACGTAAAGACGAATTTTAATTGAAAAAGTTGAGGGTCCAAGCGCAATTTAAATTAGGTGCTGATACATCCGAAGGCAGTAATACTAAATTTTACGTCAAAGAAGTGTCAAAATTTATAAATCGTTTCGATTTGAAAGAAGACATCAGTCTGTATCTTAAATTATTCGAACATCAAGCGCAGATACTGGATATAAATCAAGAACTTTGGGTTTCTCATCTTTTAGGCTTATTGCTGGCTGAAATATCTCACATCATAGCGAGAGAGCCTGATGACAAAGCTCACTCTTACGAACATGTTAAAGACTTAGTACTGAAACGTTTTAAGCTAACTCCAGAAAAATTTCGACAGCTATTTGTTTATTCGACATGCTCCTGAAAGAACATGGATTGATTTCTACCATGAATTAAATACTTACTTCAACGGCTGGATAGACGGTTTAAAGATAGATACTTTCGAAAAATTATCTGATCTAGTCATAACGGATCAACTTAAACGGAAAACGCCTTTCGAATTTAAAGAATATTAATTAGATGAATGGCCAAATATGAACTCTCCTGTTCAATTAGCAGAAAAACTCGAATAATTCGAAGACGTTAAAAAGACACTGAAGCAAAAGGGCAATCCATTTGCGAAGAAACAAGAATTCAAACCCGTTGAAAAACTCGTAGATATGAAGCACCGAGAAAATTCGAATACTATAACAGAACAGATAAGAAGTTTCCAGCGTCAACAAATTTCAGCAAACATTATGAAGCTCCTGTCACCAAGTACGAAAATGTTCAAAGATGTCAAGACAATAATGCACAGAAAGGGTATTACAACAAAAATTACGAAAAACACCCAAACTACAATGCTTCCAAGCATGCTCAGA